GTGCACGCGGCAGCGTGCTAAATTTTTCAGAAACGTACGCATCATCATCGAGACGCCACTTATTTTTTACCAAAGTTCGCTTCATCCCCTTCCCTTCTTTCTTCCTCCCTCTCTCCTTTCCCAAGTTCGTTCCTCTCCTCTATGTCACCCGACGTGTCCTGTTCGTTCTCTCGCGATTTCTTTCTCCTTCCCACCCTGGCGTTGTCGATGTGTTGTATTCGCGAGATCTATTTATACCTAGGTCCGCTGGTGTTTTCAACTTGCAGTACGACCGTGCAACAAGCTTAACCTGCGGTCTCTCGTAAAAATAGGGAACGCAGGCGGTCCGACGCGCGGACGCGAGCCGAGAAGAGAGCGCGATTTGAAGAAATCTCTTTCTCGCGCGCGCGGTCACAGGTGCGTGCGAAATATCGTCTACGAATAGCAATCGTTTTTGCCTCGCGAACGAAGCTCTTAATATTTATATTGCTTACTTAATATTTGCGACACGTGGTCTCGCACGACTCTCGTGCATCATAAACGCGTAAATAAAAGAAAAAGGAAGTACATATATACGTGTATGTATATATATATATATGTGTGTGTGTGTGTGTGTGTGTATGTACAATATACGTCCGAAACGCGGGACACCGTGTGTAAACTCGCGGGTGTTGGAATCCTGCGTCCCAAAAAATACGTAATCGCCCGCGGTTAGTGAACAAAAAAAAAAAAACAGAAATAAAATTGCTCTCGCTCTCACGTGCGCGTGCGGCAACGTGACGAAATCGAGTATGTAAAAAAAAAAGGAAAACAAAAAAAAGGAAACGAGGAAAAAACGATTACTCCCACGCGGCGGGAGTTTCGCGCCAGACGAGGCGTGGTGCGGCGTGAAAAACGAGAGTGAACGCGTAGAGTCGAGCGCGTACGCGCGGCGTGGCGCGGCGCGGCGCGGTACGGCGCGGCGCGGTGCGGCGTGGCATGGCGTGGCGTAGCGACGACCGTGGCACGGTCGCGGCACGGCCACGAAGCGACGCACGATAAACGAGGATCGGGCGCCTCTCGCGGCGCAGAGAGAGCGAAAGAGCGAACGAACGAGCGAGCGAGCGTGCGATGGATTACGTCATGTGCCAGGCACTCTCTAACGTCTGGCATTATCTTCGTCTAGTGCGAGTCTAGCCGCGCCAGTCCAAACGGTACTAACGCCGCGCTACCGCCAACGCTGTTGCCGCCGCCGCCGCCGCCGCCGCTGCCGCCGCTGCCGTCGCTGCCGCCGCCGTCCACAACCGCCGTCACCTTCGCCGTCTGGCATACATAGGCAAGGGCATACGAGACACGTCACCGTATGTGGATTCATGAAAGGACACACGCGCGCGTATTCTAGCGCTAACTAGGTGTTCAACGATACGCATACGTGTTCATGCCACGGGCATATGCGTACGCGTGCGCGTGTATTCTCGGCTCGCTCGTTCGTTCGCTCGTCCGCCCGTGTGTGTTGGTGCATGTGCACGCATCGCACCGTCGCGAACGGTACGCACATGTACATGCATATTTGCATGCACGCGTACCGCTATATGATTCGCGCGACAGATACATGCATACACGCTCGTCTCCTCATTCTCTTTCTCGCTCGCGCTACTCTGTCTCTTTCTCTCCTCCTTTCCCCCTTTTCTTTCGCACTCTTTTTCGCTCTCGCCCCCTCCCTCCTAACCGCTCTCTCTTCCTCTTTCGGTCTCACCCTTGCGCGTTCTCCTCGTCTATCCCTCTTATTCCCTGCCCTCCGTCCGCCCCCTTTAAGTACCCCCTCCCGAATTTTTTACTCTTTCTCTTTCTCTCTCTTTCTTTCATTCGCTCCCTCTCCTCCTCCATGTGCCTTCGTCTCACTCTACTCCATTTCCCTCCCTCTCTGTCTTCCCCAAACTTCTTCCTCCGTCTCTAGCGACCGCGTACAGCGTGGAAGCCGCACAGGCGGCCGAAGGCCACCGGTCTCAACTGTGGACGTACCTTGATCGTCAAGCGAGAAGTGAAGTGTGGACCTCCTTTGCCCGGCGTCCTTGTCGTCGGTGCCGAGCCCCGTGATTCTATCGTTCCGATGCGACGACGATGACGATCACGTCGGCGGAGCGAACGTCTCTCCTCCGACTTCCGCCGATTTCTTCCAGCGCTGCGCCGAAATATCGCCAACTCGGGAGACGCGACTGTCGTCTCTTTTCACCGCGTCGCGCTTCTTTTCTTCGCTTTTCTTTCGGTTTTCAAGCCGCTCCACTGGCTGATCTCTATTGTACTCTACGATGTCTTATCCGGTGGCGGAAATTGGATGAAATCGCGCGTAGAATCTCTGACAGACGAACGGATCGTTAGTGATTGTATAATGACGTATGGGACAGTCGTGTGTTCCACTAGCGAGGCTCAATTTGATCGACGAACTTGAATTTCCTCAGATTTTTCACAATCGCCTCACAGAGATCACCCTCGTCGACGATGGTTCGGGAAAACATGCGGCAATCGCGAAAAACGAAAAAAGATCTCCGTTCTTCCGTTTGCGCTAGCTCATTCTTCTCTTTCACGACTCACGTCCCGAACTGACGTGTAATGCACTTTCCTTCTCGCGTGCTCTCCTTCCGCTCCCTGTCACCGATTCTCCTCCGAGTCCGTCCGCAGGGCACGTCGATCGTTTCGCAAATCGCGGATCCTTCGCGGACCCTCGGGACACACAGGTCGGATGACGAAAAACGTCACAGGCGAGATTTAACAGGCGCGCGTGTACCGTGATATCACTCACACCGTGACCGTTTCTCTCTCCTCAAGGAAGTCGTCTCCCTTTCCCTCTTCTCCTCGTGTAAAACGCGCGTAACTGGATCACCGTAACGCGTACTCGCGATCCCGTCGATACACGCATGGGCGCGCACTGCTTTTTCGCCTTGTTCTTCGGTATAACTGAAGATCGCGCACTTCTTCTTTTTCTTCTTCTTCTTCTTCTTCTTCTTCTCTCTCTCTGTTCCTCTCTCGACAATGGTACCGGACACCCCGGATTAAATTATTCCTCCGAAACGTACGCGGTCGAGAATTCTCGTCGATCGAGAAAAGGAAACGCGGCGGCGAAAAGCGTGAAAAAAACACGAAGGTTTCAGGCGAAGCAGGACAGAATTGATAACACTTTCTTGTGCGTAACACGCGCCGCGGGATCGTGGCTCGATCGCGGGATGATACGCGACAGAAAGGAGAGAGAGAGAGAGAGAGAGAGCGAGCGAGCTGATGACAATTGACGGTGCGCGATTTTAGAAATGTCCTGCGTGTATTATCTTGCGCGTCGGCCGAACGTCGAGGACCGAAGGACCCAGCTGCTCTCCTCGCCGCTTCTTTGGGACACACACCGGGGGACTACCTAGTCGTAGAGTGATTGGGAACGCGACTGGCCAAAGCACTTGATTCGCGCGCGGTTCGGTTTGCCCGTTGCTGCGCCTCTCCCGTGCAGTTTTTTCGGCAGTCCTGTGGTATGCGTGCGCGCGCGGCGTGCATGTGTGCGTGCCGAGTGCCCGCGAGCGCG